TATTGGATTAAACTCTGTAATTCTGTGACGTCAACACTCGTTTTTTGTGTGGTTTCACTTCGGCCCGCCTGGAGAATCTGGGATCTGTGAGAAGAAGATAGAGCCAGAGATTTCCCAAAATGTATTATAACCTAAAATCTTCTTCAACAAGATCCTCCTGGGATCTCGGCGAGGTTTGAGACGCCTGAGTTAGACGGGGCCCCGGCACCTGGGAGCCCAAACTGAGCTCACAACGAGAGAACACATTTATGATTAGGTTTGCCATGTTCCCTCCACTTGTCAAACGTCTGGCTGTATTATAGTTTCAGGGTTCAAATGTGAAATGTCAAATGTGTGCCATGTGATATGGAATATGATATGCTAAAAGTGCCATAATTGTGTTTTTCACGTTTTTTTTTTTTTTAGTCGGACTTAAATGTTTCTGATTATCAACCTGTTTTGGCAAAGACAGCCTGAGTAAAAAAAGCTTCTTCTTTTTTTCAATAACCTGGACATGTGTGAAAAAATAATCACTCCTCATGTTAATAACAGGTTGTGTGACTCAAAAGGGTTTCCATAATTGGCAATGATTGTTTTAACATTTCTATGGAGGAATTTTAGCCCCACTCTTCTTTGAAGAATAGTTTAAATTCAGACAAATTGGAGGATTTTTAAGCAGGACCATCATTTTTAAGATCATATCCCAGCATTTCAATCACTTTCATGTCTGGACTTTGACTAGGCCACTTCTGAAGTTTTATTTTAGAGGTGCTCTTGATGTTGTGCTTTGGTTGAGCTTCCGTAGGACCTTGAACTGATGGCTGAATATTTTCCATCAGGATTTCATGATTCCAACAACTATGGCAAGTACTAATGCACTTAAGCTGTCCCACAGCATCACACCGCCACCACCGTGTTTATAGTCATGTTTTCTTAATGCGGGATCCACAGCATTTTCACCGGATACTGTCCGTGCCAATGTCTTTTGTCCATCATTTTAGAGAAACGGTATTTCGTTATCTTTGTATGATATTAAAATTTCCTTGGTGATCTGAAACATTGAGTATAAAAAGCTGTAGGCAGGCACACTACTTTTTCCTCTGTGGTGTTCATTGAAGCTTCTGCAAACAGTGTTATGGAGTAAAAGTATGTCTTTTACTGAACCTTTCTGTTCAGTTTTTATTGCAGGGAAAAACGGTGACAGCTGATAACGGCAACAGCTGTTCGTAACCTAGGAACCAAAAATCAACAAAGAAAGATAGTGACAAAACAGAACCAGATCCTGTTAAGAATTCTTCAAAATAAAACACTTCCTCTATTCACAATCATGTTCAATTCAATTAATAATAATCATCATGTAAACTATGCTTGACATATAATTGTAAATCAGTCACTTATCATGCATATAACAACAACATATAAGTGTAAAAAAGTCACAACAAATGGTCCTAAAAGATTTGAAGTTCAGTGGAGTAACGGTTCTCGTGGGACTTCACTACCACAGATGTCCCTGAATCTCTAAAATCCACAAATACATGAAACTTCCTCCAATAAATCCTTTTAACAGGGCCTTATTTTTTTTTTTCAAATTAATTTTTTTCCCAAATTCCAATTTTCCATTTTTTATTTTTCTGAATTCTACTTTTATTCTGACCATATTTATTGACCAAAAATCTTCATCTCTATATCCTATGACTATCACAGACATCTTCGTTGACCATCTGTGTTTTTGCGTTTAGCTTCCATTTCTCCTGCAGTCATCCCATGGCCCCCGTTAGTATTGCCATGTCAAAGATGAACCCAGTTTTTTTACAGTTTCTTCCAATATCTGTAATGTTTAAATGTTCCAGAGTTGGCAGCTGTTAGCTTGCCGCTAGCTAGCTTCTTCTCCACATTTTTGTTGTGACTTTACTGTATCCTTGCACCACCAAGAACAAAGAATGATGCTCCTGAATTTAGTATTTTTTGAATGCTAATCAACAGCGTGTCTGGGTATTTCAACTTTCTAAGCTGCATTTTCCTTTAAATATTATTGGTATGAACAAATAAGTAGATTTTCTGTGAATAATTTGGAGTTCTGTTCCACAGATCAATCTGTCAATACGTGAATTCACAAATTCTGAATGAAGACAAGGAGGTCCACTGTTGTCTTTTAAAGATATTATTCAAAATCTCTCTTTTTTTCAAATTTATTTCAATGACCACCCTGCTATTGTTGTTGCAACATATTCATACAAAAGTTTGATGCCTTGTGGCATTTATAATTAAAGAGGTGCTTAAGTATCAAGATATTTCTTTCACTTAATACAATTTTCTGATGTGCGTTGAATGAAATTTCATTTAAAATTCCTCTGCTTAAAGACAAAGCCCACAACATCCACTGTCATTTATTTGTAATTGCAACAGCAATGGAGAACATTGTGATCTCAAAATAAATAAATAAATAAATAAATAATCCCCTTTTTGGAAAACTTCACAAAACAGAAAAATTTTAAAAAATATTTAAATCATTGGCTAGAAACGTAGTAAGCTACCCTGATCCACTGAAAGATGTAAAAAACCTCTAAAGATAAGATTGTGCTTTAATGAGCACTTTAATGAGTCTTATTACTTGTGAGAATGTCTCTGGATCAGTAATGAGAACTGTAGTAATATCCTGACATAGTGTTAGAGGCGCATTAACGCCTCCAAGTTTTAAGCATCAGAGAAGCAGATGGTCCAGATCATTTGTTGCTGTGCTGAAGATGGAGGCTGATTTTCTTGTAATATAGAGGTCAAGTTACTTTTGCCACATAGGTCCCCTGTTAAACTGCTGTGCGGTTAGATTACCCTTGAAAGTAATGAAAAATTTTAATTAGAGAAATACAGGTTTGTACAGGTTTATGATACACTGACTAATACAAGTTCAGCTGGCAGTTTTTCACTCATAGTAAGATATCTTCCTAATGTTAAGTGGGATAATCTGCCAGTTGACTCGGTACTTTTTTCCATATTCAAGAATTATTGACTTAATTCTTGCTGAAAATTTACTTATTACTTTTGTCTTATTTCAAGTGTACTAAGATACTTAGACTACTTAAGATTTGGTATTCTTGAAGTGATTCTGTTAGTTTCTTCAGGCTCTAAAATGATTGAGACTTCCCCTCAAGATGAAAAAAAATCTTCTGTTCTCATGTAAACAGACAGTAAAATGTGAGAGGATGTAACTTGTCTTTTTTACTACTGTCTGTTTCAAAATGTGTGGGCCTTTTATTTTAAATCACGTTTCACGTTTGAAATTCTGCCAAACTGTGGATATCAGTGGAGTTAAATTAGTGTGATGATTCTCTTTTATTCCAGCTTGGTTTTAATACAGTTAACTCCACTGCATTACTGACATTGACTTGCTTTACTATGTGGAACAAAGCCAGTTTCATCAGCTCCTTCTGGAATGTATTATTGGGCCTTTGTGATAGCCACGTTTTGTTTAGTTCAATACTGCACTCATTTCATGGAAACGCATTACACATTCTTTCTGATGGCTGACTCCCCACAGTCATTTTGTGGAAACATCTAAATCTGCTCATGACCGCGCTTTGGGGGCTTAGCCGAGGCTTTTTTTGGGGAACTCTGAAAAAATAGAATGAAGAGAAAAGATCCAAATGGAATTCTGGAAATGTTAATGAATGAATCCCACATCAGAACACAGTGAAGAAATTCAGAATGACCCATTTTTACTTACATTTCTGCTTTCTTTTTCAGGAGCCTGCTGGATGTGGATACATTCTCCAAGTCAGATCCTGGTATGTGTCAACCTTTTTATTCTCTGATCTGCTTATTTTTATGTTCTATGTTTGCAGATGTTTTACCCTAAAAACCGAACAGCATTGCTCTTTACCTTATTTGTTCCTACATAAGACATAATGAATGATCCACTTCTCGGGTCAAGATCTTAAGAAAAGTGATGTGAACTTTAGCATGTAAGACAGTCAGAAATGAACCAGGACTAAAACTAGAGCAGAAATGTTTCTCATTCAAAAGATGAGCTAACAATTAAATAGACAACATTGAAGACAGAGGTAAACATACACTAATCAAACTGCTGATTTTGCTCTTTGATTTTGTAAACTGCTGTTTCTCCAGGGTGACATCATGAAATATTAATACATAAAAAAAATAAAAAAATAAAAAAAAATAGATGGAAATGTTTGAATTTTGTTTGGATTATCTATACGTCAATGAAAAATACTTCATAGAAAGTATTCAGCAAGCTAGCTCAATATTTAGTATGAAGCTAATTATTTAGCTCAGTGATAATTATTAAACTTTAGGCTAAATTTGGAATTTAGCTTACAGTTAAATACTTTGCTCTAAGTTAAATACAGCTTAAAGCTTTTAGCTAAATGGAGATATTTATCTCTGAGCTAAATATTTAGCTCACTAACTAAATATTTAGTTTGGAGCTACATATTTAGTGTGAAACTGTCATATTTATGAATGAATGAATAACATGTTGAAAAATGAACACCTTTTTTCTCTTATGGCAGGACTTTATAACTAGCCCACAGTAGACCAGATTCTGTTCGTAACCATCAGTAAACATCTGGCATGATTACTGCTGGATGATGTACCACTCTTCTAGGGAGAATTGGTTGGTTTCAGCTTATTAATGATGCATTTCTGAAACAGTTGAGGTCCAAAATTTAAGGTCAATCCAGAACTTTACTCTTAGCCCTCTTATCCATTCTAAAACTACTGTGAATGTGTTTTGAGTCAGTTTCCTGTTTCAGCACCCAATTTTGTCCAAGTCCAAGCATCTAGTTGGGGTGGCGGCACAAAACCTGGAGGGAGGGAACATCCAGTTAATGGGCTGAGGGTGCAGGCCCTGCAGCTAATGAGGCTGAAGTTGATAAATTCACAGTTTCTGACCCAGAGCTAAACTAAAGGGAAAGTTCACTGCTTTTTGTTAATATTTGTAGATCAAAATCTGAAATAAAAGCTAGAATAGAATCTTCACTGAATATGAACATGGTCTGAGATTAATGTGTGAAATCACAGAAAATGTAGTTTCAATGCATTGCAGCTACTTTAGAAGGAGATAAGATGATACAAAACATGCTATTCTGCAAGGATTACGAATCATTTAATATTTTGCTTCATTTGTGAAACCTTCACTCTGTGAAAAAAAAAAAGAAAATTGGGGTGAATTCAAGGTTTTTTAACAATACTGTAATCTGGATTCAGTTCACTCACTATGGAAGCAAAAAGGAGGAAGTGGTTTTGGGTGGCAGTCATGTGAGAATAGCTTGTATATGAATGAACTGTCAGGCTCTCAAAAAGAAACTATTTGGACTTTCCAGCAGAACGCTTTGCTTTTTCTGATGAAAAGCCTTGAAGCATTTCAATGTGTCAATTTGTGAGTCCAACTGAGGACAATTTGTGGAGAGCTAATGTATTCTATGGTGTGAGATTTGCAGGGATGAAAATACTGTATAATTTGATACGAACCTCTCTGTATTTGAATACCATACTCTGTAGGGTTTCATCTGATTCAAAAATAGACTTTAATTTAGTTTTCTGGACCTTTCTGAACATGTAAAGTTGTTTTTTTTTCATACTTTACACTTGTAAAAGGTGAGCTTGCTATTCTTACACTTTGATTGTTTTTATCCAATAACCAACAATGATCAATACTAGCGTTCATCTCCCCTGTTAACTGTCGGTGTTACTTTCTGGCATGACCTTTAACCCCAACTTTCCTACTGATTTGTCTCTTGGTGTATGACTGTGTGAGACTGAACAAATCTAGCATGAAGTAATTTCAGCGTTTGGTCTGACTACATATTTAGAAGAGGGCAAATGAACTTCAGCCTTAGATAAAGTGCAGTTGTATAATTTCTAGTGTTGTCAGTCAATTGAAAAATGTAATCAGATTAATTACACTCCAGCGCTGTGATTAATCAGTTAGTCACTATGATTAACTTTGTAAGGTTGAGATGTGAAAGCCCATGTTTTCAAGAAATGTTTAGGAAATCATTTTGTCTCAAACCAAACATCTCAGCTTTCCAGGTTTTCATTCATGGAGGCTTAAAAGACGTCATTTTGCTTCAAACGTAATTTAGAAATGTTAACTATAAATTGTCCTTCAGTGGAAGGATAATTGCAATTCTACCTTGGTTTTATCCAAATGTCCATTGCGGTGTTTCTGTTCTTGTTCTGACAGTAATCTGACAGGAAGTGGGCAGAGAGAAGGGGGAAAAGACAAGGAACCGGGAAGAGGGTTCGATGACCGCATCGAGATTTGTTGCCTCTGTTTTCGTGACGCTCGCTCTGACTGCCGTGTTTTCTAAAGCAAAGTTTACTGCAGAGCACAACAATCTGACTCTCCCCACTGATCTTTTCACTCTTATTTGCGACTCTGATTTTTTGACCGCAGTACAAGGCAGCTGTGGAATGAGCTGTTATGAACCAAGTAATGCTCCATGGGAGAGACGCTTTTACACAAAAATAGATAATGCTGCATTATGTAACATTAATCTTTTTAGATTAATCGCATACGTTAACGTTAGGCCTGTCACAATAACAGATTTTGCTGGATGTTAAATTGTCCCAGAAGTTATCACGATAAATGATAATATTGTTGTTTTGAGACCATCTTCAAGCAATATAATGATAATGGATAAATAATGCAAGAACACATTCTCAAAGATTGATCAATTCATTACAATTCATTAAATTCTAATGAACATTTAACACTGGAACTGGAAGATATTTTAATTATCCAAAATAAACAAAGCAACAGGAACAACAAATAAAATTAATTATTAATTTCTATAAACAAAATTGTCTTTATAAGATCAAAACACCAGACTTAATTCTGTTATCCAGTTTTTTGTAGAAAGAGACAAAAGAGAAAAAAACAATAAATCATACAAATGGAAATTATGGAGCTTGTTTAAATTTATTATGCAATTAATAAATGTTTTGTTTACAGCGACAAGCCTAGTTAACATGTTACCTTTCACAGCCCTAATAATGTCACATAAAATATATAATATTTGTATAAATTTAAATGTTTTTCTGTGGGGAAAAGGCCTTTGGAAAGAATTCATTGTAAACAGCGGAACAGAAATGGATCTATGAGTCTTTACAGTTTATTTCTCAATTTCATTTTCTTTGATTGTGGATCAAACAAGATGTGAGTCTGATGTTAAACATTTTCTCATAATTTATTAAATTTGTCTTTGACTGGATATTTGGGCACACCCCTACTTTCCTTTATTTTAAAAAAATGACTAAGAAGCCAAAGAGCTGTGAACAGAAAGTCATGGCGACTGCTCATTCTCTGCACCTGCCAATCTAAACGGCTCTATTACCAGTTTTATGCGTTCTTCCCTTTCGGCCTCTTGACATCAAAGCTTTCTGCCGACTAATTTGAGCCCAGTGGCGTCCGAGCAGATAAGTAGCGCCGAGCGACTCCGAGTCCAAAGGGCACAGATTTGCAGGGAGGAATGACGCGCCGCAACCCGACAGACAGTCGAGACTGAAATGAGTTTCACAAATCACAGCTGGAGAGCACAGCTGTCTAAATCCCTGGTCTTGAGGCTCAGGTGATAATGTGGGTGACGGATCACAGATGTGAGGGCTGCCTGAGGAGCTACTGGGCTCCAACCAGTACAGACAGGAAGAAGTGATGCATGAGTCTCAACATCGGTTCAACTTCAGCAGATGTTAAAGGTTCTGCTGGTCAGTAACAGGATCCGGTTGGAGGGCTGGTCAAAGTTTCAGCCAACAAGAGTTTGCAAACTGAAACTGAGGCCAGTTTAACCTTTTTAGACAATATAATGTTAACATAATTAGAAATTAATCCATCTTGAGAGACAGGTGGCTGGTTTCTCTGCTAGAACTGGTTTTAGAAAATGTTTCTGTACTCAGTTTTCAAAAGAAAAAAAAAGTCTAATTTAAAGTGTGTGAACTTTAAATAGTTTATATCATGAAAGCACCAAGAAGGTCAAATATACTTTGTTTTAATGATCACACCAAATGTTGGACTGTCATCAACCATTCCAATAAAATACACAGAAAAAGATGAGAAGTTCAGATATGTTTGCGACGTAGCTGAATTTCTAATATATTCTATGCTTCCTGCCAAGCCTTCATCTGATAATATGCCCAGCAGACTCCTGGAGAACACTAAAACTAATCTCCTTCTGGAAGTTCCTCTTAAAGCATCTTTTCTGTTACAACGGATTGCAGTTGCCCATTTTGGTCTTATTTCTGAGTGTACGTCACAGGTGGCTTCCCCAAGTCAAACCAGTTAACTGATTTATTTTCCTCTCACAGCTGCTCCCTCTGCCATGTCTCGTCCAGTTTTTATCGCTGCCAACTGCCTAGGTGTTTGATATTCAGCTGCAAAGATGAGCGAGAGCAAATGTCCTGGCAGAGAGAAGGAACGGAGAGGAGACTGCACTCGGCTCTCAGTCAGTCGTCTTTTTATCCTCGCAAAAATGTTTTAATCAAAGTAATCAGAGGTACATCTGTGGCAGCTCTGCTGATTGTCAAAATTCTAAATATAGAGACTTCAATAGTCAGAGAGCCAAAATAGTGGAGCACGCAATCAGGTCAAAAGAGTGTGTCTATGACAAAATCACAGGTGATTTAATCAGTCTTAATGTTATTCCGAGCTAATAGGACGCCCTGAGTAACTGGGTTAACCGTGCCGCAGAAGCATCAGAGGAGTTTGGAAGATGTTTTTCACTGTTCGTTTCCATCTTTATGAGATTTCTTCAACATATAACAACTT